GCACCCTCTGGCAGAGAAATGGGACAGTGTGGCCGTAGTCATCTCAACAGAAAGGGACCACAGCGACCAAACCTTCATAGCGGCTGGAACACGTTCAGGAGCTGAAGGGGACCAGCTTAGCGAGAAGGGAGGGCGCCTGCAGAGGTGGGACCCTAAAAGGCCCCAGCAGAAGTGCTGACCTGGGAGCACAGTGACGGGTAGATGCTGGCCTCTGGCCCGAGCCGGCCTGCCAGCGTGTGGCCCGCACCCCTCCGCGCTGTGACCCGGTCAGCCCGGAGCCTCGTCCTGGGCCCCTGCCCTCCTGAGAGCATGTTTTGGCGTCTGTACGAGTTTCATGGTTTAACTGTCCCAAGGCGGAGTCTGAGGAGGAGCAGGCGGCCTGCGGGGGTCACCGAAGGTGTGGGCGTCCTACGGCCGTTATAGTCTCTAATGGGGCCTGAAGATGGCACAAATTTCCACTTCCTCCGTTCTGGAGGCCGAGTCCACCACGAAGGCGTCGCAGGGCCGCGCCCCTTCCAGAGGCCCCTGGAGGGTCGTCCTGCCTCGTCAGCCGGGGCCCAGGCCGCCTCCCTCGCGTCTTTGCCCGTCCTCATGCGGCTTCTCCGTGCGCGTCTGCGCCCGTGCCCCGGTTTGTGAGGACACCGCTGGTTGCACGAGCGCCCCCAGCTCTGCCGTGACCTCGTCTTCCCTTGGTCACATTTCCAAAGACCCCGTTTCCAAGTGGGACCCCCTCTGGGGGCCCAGGTTAGAACCTCGCACATCTTTTGGGGGACATAGTTTCACCGGCACGGTCACCAACAGAGCACGTGTTTGGTTAATGGAAAGTCGGCCTTCGAAGAGAGAAAAGATGCAGTGTCTTCCTTTGGTCCCCGTCCTTAGCTCTCTCTGGGACAAGCCCCCAGGCTGGCCTTGGAGGGCTTGCTGAGGGCAGGTAGGGTTCTTTGTGCGCAGAGACGTGATGCTTCTCCGTGGATGCGTCTTCATAAGGGTTGGGACAGTCACGCGCTAACAGGAGTTGCAAAGGGGAGGAAGGGACCCGGGCTGGAACCTTTTGAGACCAAGTCGCCCGCCCGATGCCCCCACTGCCGCGCTCCCACGTAGACGCAGTTCGTGCGAGCCCGCTGCCTGTTTCCGGCCGTCCCTCAGGGCCCAGGCCCCATGTCGTGAAAGGGCGGTTGCCCCGGACGGCGTCCCATCTCTGGCCAGGGACCGGCCTGTGTGTCGGCCACAGCTGTGCCCGCAGCCGCCTCCTGCCCCGTTCAGCACTTGTGAGAGGACCTGCTTGCCGGCCTTGACTCAGGCTGGTGACGAAGGCAGTGTGCAGCTGCCCTTAGGGTCTTGTGAGTTTAGAAAGGGGACAGGTCACACTGAGTCCCCGTAGCTGGGAGGGTGGAGCCTTTCAGGTTGGCGGGGCCGAGGGCCGCCTCGTGTGCCATTGGGAGGTGAAGGGGGCCGGCCCCCATGCAGCAAACGCAGTCTGGTCTGGGCCGGGACCCTGGTGCCCCCGCGGGGAGGCCCCGGGGTGCAGCACAGCTCCGTCAGCCAGAAGCAGCCCGCGCGTCGCTGACGTGACACCCCGATCGCCCTAAACTGCGCCCTGTGCTTGCAGGGATGCCCGCCGTGTGTGGCCCCGGCATGGTGCCCGTGGCCCTGCCCCCGGCAGCCGTGAGTGCCCCGCCCCGCTGCAGCGAGGACGACCTGAAGGCCATCCAGGACATGTTCCCCAACATGGACCGGGAGGTGATCCGCTCCGTGCTGGAAGCCCAGAGAGGGAACAGGGACGCGGCCATCAACTCCCTGCTCCAGATGGGGGAGGAGTCCTAGGCCCCGCCCCCCGCCGCCTGCCGCCTCCGGCCCTTCGGACTTGCCAACCCAGGGTTGCCCGGGGCGCGCTGTCCCAACAGGAGTCCTGCGAACGAGCCCCTCGCAGCCCCTTCCTTGGCCGTCCGTGCGGCCCGGCCCGCCCCATCTGGGCCGCACGTGAGGGTGCGGTTCCCGCAGCCGTCTGCGGTGCCCGACGGGACTGTGGGTGTGGGTGGCTTTGCTCCCGCCTGTGTCGGGAGACGAGCAGACACGAGGGCCGTGTCCCATTCACACACACCCACCTTCCCCGGCTCGGGGACCGCGTCCTCGTCCCGTGTGCTCCCCATCCCCGCGCCGTGCCTGAGTGCTCTGGCGGGGCCGCCTGCCTTGGCCGCGGCCTCGCAAAGGGCCACATGTCCTGGGGTGGCTAATGGCATGCAGTCACGTGACTTCACTGGGACAGACCTATTAATTTAACGTGCACACAATCCATCGATCGCTGATTTGGGCTTGATTTTAGAACTTGCAAACTGAAAACTCCCGTCCCTCCCGTGGTCCTTGTGGCCTCGGGCTGCTCACCGGCATCCCGTACCAGCGCAGCCGTGCAGGGCTGCGGCCACGGATGTCCCCCTGTCACGGCCGTGCGGCCGGAGCCAGGCTGCCCTCAGTGCAGAAGGCCCCTCGTGTCTGTCCTCGCTGTTTCGTGCCAGCTTCGTGGGACGTTCTGAGGAATCGCTTCTCTCTGTGGTCAGCTCTGCCATCAGAACCCGAAATCGGGGGGGAGTCAACCCCGTCCCGCTTTACTAAAGGGTGTGGGAACCGTGGCTCAGCCCCGATGCTGATTTCAGTCACTGCACCGTCCAGTGCACGCAGCCCGAGCGACGGAGACGGTGTGGTGACAGCCAGCCTGCAGGTCTTCCCGGGGGGCTGTGTGTGCGTGCGCCGCACGCTGGCCCCAGCTCTGGCTGCAGACACAGGACAGGGACAGATCGGGGGACACCTAGTGAAATTTGAGAAGTCTCAGAAGCGATGCTCTCTGAATCACGCACACAGGTCAGACACGCACGTCATCCGGGGGGCAGGGTCAGTGGCATGAAGGCCCCGTCACTGTTTCCTCTTCGGGTGGTCACTGCAGTCTTTGGGCATCAGGTCTCTCGACACGGACGGCAGGACGGGTCCCGACGACGTGGACGTCTGCGGGCTGATTCTGCGCCGGTCCCCGGCCCTCCCCGCCACGCGTCCTGCCTCCTCCGGACTTTGGTTGGATGCAGTTTCCGGAATTTGTTCCTCTCAGCCCGGGGACGTGTGTGGTGGCTGGGTGGTGACAGTGCCAGGCGAGGGGCTCTCAGAGTGGAGGCTTGTGTTGGCTCAGTGGGTTTGGGCCACCTGCTTGAGCACGGTGCACCCCACTTTCTCGTGGACCCCGCGTCCGTGTTTCAGACAGGTGGGTCTCGTGCTGTGCAGCACATTTCTTCTCAAGTGGGTGAAAGTGTTAGGTGGGCCTGCGGGGCTCTGAGTGTGTCAGTGGTGACCTGAACAAGTGTGGCACGAGACACTACAGGTGCCGGTCCCCAGGCCCCAGCTGGCCCCAGCACCACTTCTGCTGCCCGCCGCTGAGGCGTGGGAGTCTGCGCCCACGTGTGACGCCAGCGCACCCGTCCCCCGGCCCAGGAGCAGCCCGCGCAGGCTCAGCCCGGGTGCCGTGCTTTGAGGTGCCCACCCTTGTGCCACCTCCGTCCCTCTCCGCGTTCACGAACAGCGTTTCTAGGAGCTCACAGGCGGGCCCCCCAGAAGGCCCTCCGGAGGGGCTCCTCACTGCAGCCACTGCACCTGCGTCCCCTGCCTCGTCCCGCCTGTGTCTGTGAGGAGGGACGCGTCTGCCTTCGGGGCGCTGCGGCTGTGGGTGGGGTGGCTCTGGGGCTCTGCTTCCCGTCATCCTCTGGGGTCCAGTGTCCAGGTCTTTCTTTGATTGTAAAGTATATTTTTACTTTTCAGCCTTCTAATTTAATAAATGATCTGTATAAAAGTAGAGAATTAAAGTCCTTCGAGGAAAGTTTACCAGTTTTGTTCCCGAGTATTTTTTAACCCAGCTTTTAAGAAGCAGCGTCGGCGAAGCAGTCAGGAAATTCACTCCGAACTAGTCACGGCTTGTGCCGGTGAGGGCAGAGCCAGGCATCGGCTCAGGACGTCGACCCGGAGCGGTCCCCCCAGGCGTGAGTTCTGTTTCCGAGGGAGCCACGCAGGCGAGTCCACGCAGGCCCAGGGTCAGCGGGCATGGCTTCAGGAGACATGGAGGGGGAGCAGGGACCCAGGTCCCCCTGGGAGCCAGGCAGCCCGGAGGGCGGGTGCCGGGCTGGGGCCCCCCGCCGCCCCCCAGCAAGGCTCTCTGTGGAGAGTGTTCGCACCACGCAGCCTGTGCCATTGACCGTGGCAGGCCGTGCGTCCCGCCTGGCACAGCTGAGAGCTGTGTGCTCAGGCGCAGCATGAAGCAGGGAACGGGGCGTGTCTCACTCCGAAGGACCCTGAGCAAGGCGCCAGGGACACGCGGGGCGGGGCGCCATGCTCCTCGAAAGCAGGGCTGAGCTCGCGAAGAAGCGGGGGTCCCCCAGGGGGCGGGACAGGCGCGGGGCCGGTGTGGTGGCAGGCAGGGTCTGTCTGGTCACCGCTCACCAGAACAGGGCCGGAGCTGGGGCTCCATCGGTGTCTGGGGCGGGGACCCTGATGGGTTTCCACAGCCAGGAGGCACAGCCCTCACTCAAGCTCGAGGTGCCTGTCTGCGGCCCAAGGACAGGGTGCACTGGACGTGTCACGAAGCAAGGGAAGTGTGGCCGGCCGGCCCCACCTGTCACCCAGGACGCCTCGGGGGCACACGACGTGGCCCGGTGCCGGCAGCAAAAGCATGTGCTCCTGAGGGACCCAGGACGGCAGCACGGGCACGGCCGTCCTCGGGAGCTGCCACGAGCAGGTCTCAGCACGCCCGCGGGAGGGAGGAGAGCCCAGCGGGGGAGGAGAGCCCAGCGGCACCGCTGAGTGAGGCCGGGCTTGCGGTTGACGTGGGCGGGCCCGTGACGGGCAGCGGGGGTCTGGGGGTCGCCATCCTCCCGGGCCTGGCGCCCGCCGGGGACTCCCCGGGTGGCGGGCTCTCTTCTCCCGGCCTCGCACGCGGTCCTGGGCCGTGCGCCCTCTGCCCTCGGCCCGCAGCGTGGCCGCGTGTCCTCAGCCTGCCCCAGAGGCAACGTCCCCCCACCACGTCTGCGGACGGGCGGGCGCCCGGGTTGGCCCCTCCGTCGGCCGCCAAGTGCGTGGCGCTTGCTCTATCGCTGTTGTGGTTCCCGTACACGAGCCCGTCCCCTAAAGTAGAGGTGGTGTCCGCCCCTTCGGGCCGACGCAACGAGTCCCCCCCAGCGGGGCTCCACCGACAGTCGCGACTTCCCTCCGCTCCAGAGGCCGGAAGGCCGGGATGGGGGTGCCGGCTCGCTGGGCGCCCCTGAGCCTCTTCCTGGTGCAGACAGCGACTTCCTCGTGTCCTCCGGGGTGTGGGAGTGGGGGGCTCTCTGAGGTCCCCTTACAAGGGCCTCCTCCTGGGCCCCTGCCACCCGAAGCCGTCAGTGTCAGAGTGGCTCCCATACGGGAATGGGGGGACAACCATCCGTCCACACCTCGTGCCCGCACACGATGGGCGTAGCGGCCACCACGTCTAAAGCCCCAGCCGGGAGAGGAGACAGACCTGTCCTCCGCGTTGGAGTGGGGTGGGGGGCGGCCAGGTTCCGCTCTGTCCCGAGGGTCTCAGGCCCGGCTGGCGGGCCTGGGTGGGGTGTGCGAGGCAGCCTCCCGAGGGGCAGGGCCAGCGGTGCGGTGACACTTAGCCCACAGTGCTGGGGTGGGGCCAGCTGTGCTGCCCGAGCTAACAACCACAGGTGGGTGTGTGGACACAGGTTGGATGTGGGGGGACGAGGGATGACCGTGTCTCTGTGTCAGGTGCCACCAGGGGTCCTCAGTGAGGACAGGCATGCTCAGGCGGGAAGAATGAAACCCCAGCTCGGTTCAAGTGCGCGCAGAGGGTGGGGACACTTTCCAGGAGGTCGCGTGGATGGCAGTGACCGGGCAGCTGCAGGGAGGGGCCGCCGGGAGCGGCTGCAGGGCTGGGGCTGGGCTGGGGTCAGGGTGGCCTCCTGCTTCCATGTCCCTTCCTGTCCACCCTCACACCTGTCCCATCTCACTGGGGGGCAGGCCCGAGCCCTGCAGGGCCCTCTGCACCCCCACACAACCCACTGCACCCCAGCCTCGCTGCCTGCCGCCCGGCGCCCCTGCCGGGCTCCTCACCCCTGCAAGCCTTTGCTTGACTGTCCCCTCTTGAGGCAGCGTCCCGGCCACCCTGGCAAGTCCCACTCCTTCCCACGCAGCCAGGGTCTCCCCTCTCCTGCTGGCTGTCCAAGCAGAGCAGAAGCCAGCACATGAGGCGCCCCCAGGAGCGGTCTGCACCCCGACCCTGTCCCCGGGCCTGGGAAGGGTGTCTAGCCTCAGCCTCACCCGGGCCCCCAACCCTGTGGTTCGAGCACACGCAAACCCCAACCTCCAGGCCACCGCCCGGCGCTGACGGACACGGCCCGTCCACTGTCACGATCTCATCCATTTTGTTTTTGAAAACATCACAGCACCCCTCGAAGTGTTCGTTTGTGAAGAGGCCTCTGCAGAAGCAAAACTTGCAGCCCAGATTCACGTGAAATCTGAAGTTGTTGCCTTGGGAGCCGCAGAGGACGCGCAGCCCAGCACTGGGCAGAACCCCCGGCCGCCTGAGCTCCACGTCCCTGGGGCACGGGAGCCGACGACGTGAGGCCGAGCATGCAGTGTCCCGGCGACGAGGGCGTCCGCTGGGCTTCTGTGCGATGTTTTCTTTAACGACACGAGCCAGCGGCACGAGAGGCCGCCGGGCCATGGGAGCCTTGCTCGTCTCCGCGGCTCCGGCGGTGGCCTCGCGGTGCGAGCCGCTAACCCTCCCGGGACACGAGCACCCTTCTTTCACTCACGTGCAACGTTGTCACTAAGAAGCAGCTTCAGCGCCGTTAACTGTACGATACAGCAGCGTTAAAGCGATAAACCTCATTCAGGAGAAAAGGGAAAGGTGAAAACTTATAAAAACCGCAGTGCGAGCATCGCTACCTCGGCACAGCAGCCCCGGCAGGCGCCCTGCTGACGCGTGACGCTGGCGCGTGCTGTCCCCGGAGAGCCCCGAGGCCGGACGAGTGCCGGCTGAGCCGACGCCACGGCGGCGGCATGCACGGAGCGTGCGGGGCGGCAGCGCCGGCGCTGACCAGGGGGCTCCCACGGGTCAGGCCCAGGGCCCCCTCCGCACCCCTGCTCCCACACGTCCTGACCTCAGGCCCCAGACAGGCCGGAGAGTCGCGGAGGGGGCAGGTCACCGGGGAATGAGAACGCGACCCCCCACTGCCCGGACTCCAAGGAAGATCTCTGCCACAAGGGGGCGCCCTCCGCTCCCCTGTCGGGGGGACTGCACCGGCCAGCGGAGTGAGGAGCACACTGGGGGGGGCTCCGGCACCGCCCCGCCCCGCCCCCCGCCCAGCTGCCCTTCACGAGTCACGTGGGCAGCTCCAGGCTGGCCCCTGGCCCTTGGCCCCTTCCCCCAGGGAGTCTGGAGGAGAGCCGGGCTCACCCGAGGGTCACGTCCAGGCTGCAGCTGGGCCGTGGAAGACCCAGTCCTGTGGAAGACTGCACGGGATCCAGCCGGGCCTGCCAGGCCAGGCAGAAGGTGAATGGACTGGGGGGCCACTCTGATGGGTAGGGACCCCCAAGGCCCAGAAGGGAGGCAGTCAGGGCTGAACTGGGCCAACCTGTGGTGGGGCTCTCCTGGAGTGAGGAGAGAGTGTGGAATGTTTGGGGGACTGAGAGCGGCACCCTTTTGACCTCAGGGTCCCCATGGGTGGGGCCTCGGACGGGTTGGGGGACCCAGCAGCAGATGTACCACCTCTCCCCCCGCCCCCAGTGACTCGGGGTTGGGGAGACATACCACTTGTTGACGTCCGGAACAAGCAGAAAGCACCTTGTCCCAGCCAACTAGCCTGGGAAGCGCATCTGGGCATTTGTCCCCAGAGTGACCGTGAGGAGGAAGGGCCCTCCCTCTGCCTGGCAGAGTGGCCAGTCTTCTCAGTGGGGACCCAGTGCTGCCTCTGGCAGAGTCCTGACGCCTCTCCCGGGAGAGCCTGTCGGGAGGTCAGCTGCAAAGCAGGGGTGTCCCGCGTGGTACAGACACCATCATGCAGCGGACCCAGACGTCCAGGGCAGAGTGCCCGGTGGCTCACGGGCGGGCTCTTCACAAGGCTCAGCACGTGGCCCTTGGGGAGAGGACAGACTGACAGGTTAGGACTACAACCCCGGGGCCCACAGCCCTTCAGAGGGGACACCTTCCCGGGAACTCAGCGAGTTAGGTTTATTGGCAGTATCCCATTGAAATAGCCCCAAACGCTAGATAATCCGTGTCTAAAATTTTTTCCTGAAAAAATGTAAGAGATGAAAAGAGAAAGGGGGAGCCCAGAGAGCTGCTCCCAGCAAACTCGAGCTTTCCTTCGGGCGGCGCTGCGGGGCAGAGGGGGTGTCGCAGTGAGTGGGGTGCGCACGGCGTGCGTGGACGGACATGCCCGCCATGAGGAAAATGTCAGTTTTTCAAGTTAATTTCCACTCAACCTACTAACAGTCTCACGAGTCCTGCTTGTTGTTGTCGCGGTCGTTTACGAGACTGGTACGTTGACCCCCAGAAGGCTGGGAGGAGCCCCGACATCGTAAAGGAAGCATGGAGGGCGGAGACGGGCTCGCATGGGAGCCAGAACTCTAAGGACGATTGTCCCTGTTAAGATGACAAACTAAGAGTCCAGTGGACCCGAACGGAGGCCAGAGCACAGGTGACAGTGCAGGGGGGCACGGAGGGGCATTTCGTACGTGGTACTGGGACAACAGAAATAAACATAATCGGACCCCTGCCCAGCGCCATCTCGAAATGCCAGTTCTGGATTCAGGGGAACCCGAGAGGGCGGCGGAGCAGGACGCAGCAGCTCTGGGGTCCCCACCCGGACGCCCGGCGCTGGCACGACCTGTCCAGCGGGAGCAGGCAGGAACCCCGGGGCCTGCGGGAGCCTCGGGCGGCACACCGAGGCTGGCTTCAGCTCAGCGCGGTGCCGGTGCCCCGTCCCCCACCCCCGTGGCATGGCCGGCAGCTGTGCACAGACCCTCAGGGGTCTGTGCTCTGACGGCCGATGGCTGCTTTCTGATCGCAGAGGTGCGTGCGAGGGGGTGGGCGGCCATCGTTGTCACACCTCCCCTGATACTGCGAGACCCTCCCCCGCCAAGTGAAGTGACGTTCGAGGGACCTAAAGGGCCGGCGCCCTTTCTCCTCCTTTGTTTTTTTCCCCTCTTTTGGGAGACAGACATTTAAGACCAGGACGTTCAAAAACAACCGCAGATACGGCGAAAAATAGAAAGTGACCGTGTGTGACCAGGAAACAGCTCAGAACAGACATGGGAAGACACTAAGTTGACGCCTCAGGCCGATCCTCACGCACAGGCAGCCTACGCCAATCAAAAAGCCATAGATGATGAAAACGGCCAACTCCGGAAAGGCGGAGAGTCGATTTCTAGAGTTATGACGTCATCAGACTCACGGCCACCGTTCAGCAATAACAACAAAATCGCAAGGGGACAAACAAACGGGACGGTGTGGCCCAGGGAAAGGGAAGCTGCAGCAGGAGCTGTCCCCTGAAAGGGACCTGATGCACGCGTCAAAGACCCGCAAACACCGACAGGAGGGTGTGGAGAAAACTGTGTGATCAGAAAGGAAAAGCAATAAAGAGAAAAACCTAGAGAGAAACCAAACGCCGGGGCCGGAAAGTACCAGAATCGAAATGAAAAATCCACTGGAAAGACTGAAAGTCAGATTTGAGCAGGAAGAACAAGGAATCTGCGAACTTGAACACCGGACAATGGAAATGACTGAGTCTGAGGAACAAATAAACAAGGTTTAAAAGTGAAAAGCGCCTGAGCGGCGCGTGGGACACCATCCGGTGGACCCGTCGTGGGTCCACAGGAGCCCGAGGAGGAGAGAGAGGGGGGCGAAGAACGCTTGAAGGAAAGATGGCCGAAACGCTCCCAAATCCGATGAAATACGTGAATATAAACACCCGAGAGTCTGCAGCGATGGCCCCCTGAACGTGCCCGATCCCGTCGGATCTCGGAAGCTAACGGGGTCGGGCCTGGTGAGGACTTGGATGGGAGACCACCGAGGAAGACCGGGTGCTGTAGGCATGAAAAAAAAAATCCAAGAAGCTCAACAAACTCCAAGTCAGATGAACTCGAGGAGACGCACACCGATAAACATGACCAAACATTCGAAAGCCAGACAGAGAATCTCGAAAGCATCGAGAGCGGAGCGGATCATCACACACGAGGGACCATCAGGCAGATCGCGTGCGGACTTCTCTTCAGACTCCTGGAGGCCAGAAGACGGTGGGCCAGTATACGCAACGCGTTTAAGAAAAAGAAAACTCAACCAAGAATCCTGTATCCTGCAGAACTGTTCTCAGACGAAGACACCGCCAGGTAAACAAAAGCGGAGGGAGTTGACGACCCCTAGACCTGTCTCGCGAGGGGGCTGGAGGGGGCTGGAGGGGGCGCGCAAGGTGAAAGGGGAGGGTGTGGGACGGGCGGCGCCATGAAGCCGAGATCTCAGCAAAGGCAAACGCGTGGGCAGTGACGGACGCCGGGGCTACTGGAGGAGCGGTTATAACGGTGCTTTCGTTTTCTACATGACTCAAGAGACTCATGCATTAAGAAAACACAGAATTATTGGTGTAAAAGCTAGTATCACCGTAACTTTGGTTAGCAACTCCAAATCCCCCTTGGTGGGCAAACGGTCTCGTCCGCTGGTGGCTTCGAGGCGTCCCTTTATTTGACATTCTAAAACCTCGCGGCCGAGCGTGGGGATGGATTTGTGTCTTCTTCACCGTCCTCGGCTCCCTCCGGGCGCTCTTGGCCTGAGAGCGTGTCCGATTCTGAAAGATCACCCTGTGGCCACGGTCGCTCTGGGGCTTCCCAGAAATCTTCAGGAGGTCTGTTGGCCTCACAGAGAATCCACTTCATTGTTTTAAATGGCTGCTATTGTCAGGTTTTCCTGTCTCCAGACGTGAGCAGTGACAGTGACAGTCCGTGACCAGTGACAGTCCTAGTCTAGGTGCTTCCCGACGCGTTTACATCAGGAGGAGGTGCATGGGTCTGTGGGAACAGTCGTGCCACAGGAATGGCTGGGGTTTAGGGGTCACTGTTTTGCACGTGGGTTAACAAAGACTCAGTCGGGAGCGTGACTGGCCACGGAACCCCCAGAAATTCAGACTGTGTGAATCACGGGGTCTGCTTACAGAAGTTGGACCAGCGGTGACTGAGGGAGTAGCCGGCCTCATCTGCAGCGTACCTGCAACCTTGACAGCCCACCGGGCCATCTCCCAGGTGTGGTGTCCTGCTCTGACCAGACCTCCTGGGATGGCCAGGGACGGCCAGAACGCTGGCAGCAGCCACTGAAAGGATGCCAGGCCCTCCTCGCTGACCCCCAGCCCACCTTCCCCAAGGAGCTGGGGACCCCGGCCCGTGGGAGAGCAGGAGCTCCGTAAATGTGCGGTGCTGTCGCGGCTGAGCCGCACTGAGCACAGGGCCAGCCATGTGGTTCCCGGAAGGCACAAGGAGACCCTGTCAGGCGCCCCTGGCAGCGTCGCCTTTGCCTCCCCAGGTGGCAGCCCCTCCCATAACCGTCCTGCCCACTTGGGGGTCATTTCTTGCCCTTCCTGTGTGGTCAAGCCTGAAGCCAGGGGCGCGCTCCACATCCCAGGGCACACGGATGGGCCTGGTTAGTGAAGTCACTGCCTGCACCGCAACCTGCACCCAGCTCCTCCCACCCCAGCTCAAGAAAATCCACCTGGGAGGGCCGGTGCGGACTGGACGGGGATGGGTCACGGTGGCAGCAGCCGCCCCCTCGGGGTCTGCGCAGCATCATGCACTGCCCCCCCCACCCCAGGAGCCCCGGCTTGTGGGACAGCTGCTTCCTGCACCGCCACCCACGACCAGTCACCTCCTCCTGCTGGCTGCTCCAATGTCCACATCCGTGAACCGGCTCCCTAATGAACCCCGCGTGTTTGAAACGATGACGAGGATGCCCCTGCCAGCACCCCCTGCCCCACCCGTCCCTCCCCGCGGGTCCCGCACAAGCCCCAGCCGTGCCACAGAGCCTGTGGGGCCCCATGCAGCCTGGCCCTGGACGGAGGGACGAGCCCTGGGAGGACACAGTTGGCAGGAAGAGACACCAGGACCAGGACGTGTACATGATGCTCAGCGTTTATTTGCACGTTTGGGGGCTGGGAGAGCAGAAGGGGGTGCTTCGGGATGCTGACCCCCCCTCGGCCATCAGAGCCTCAGCCGCAGGTCCAGACGCTGGCAGGCGGCCACCCTGCCCGACGCCGCTCCCTAGAGGCAGCTGGCCGTGCCTGGGCAGGTCCAGTCTGCAGTCTGATACAGCCTTCGGGGTGCAGGGGAGGGCCCGCAGCCCCCCGTGAGGAGCAGCCAGTGGCCCGTGTGCAGTGTTGCTCCAGGGTGTCCCTCTGATACCAGGAAGGGGTGAGTCTAGGCAAAGCGGCTCTCGTTTCGGACGAAGGCCGGCCCTGACGGCAGGGCAGGTGGCCGAGACAGGCCAGTGGGGCTCCCTGCCTGGCACCCTCCTCACGTGGACCCACTGCACTGTCCCCTGCCAGGGCATGGGTTTCACCCAGGGGCAGCTGGAAGGCGGGTGGGGGCAGTGGGACAGGGACAGAATGGCATCAGACAGTGGCCCCCTAGGACAGAAGAACAGGGGTGCTGTCCTCGGGAGCTACAGGCGAGGACGCACAGGACGGGGCGCAGCCGCACGCGTCCACGTGGGTGTAGGTGCGCTGGACGGCGGTCCCGTCGCGACACTGCATGGTCACCGCCTGCTGGTGGGCCTCAGTCTCCTGGCAGCAGGTGCACTGCCGCTGCATGGCCTGGGCCTCCGCGGAGTACCTGGGACACACGGCGCCCTCAGGACCCGCCCCGCCACCCGGCCACCCGGCCCTGGGGCTGGGAGCTGGCAGCCCCACCCACCCCAAGTCGTTGTCCGAGCGGGTGGGGCTTTGCGATCCTGGCCTGGGGTGGGTCTGTGGGCACTCACGGTCGCTTTGACCCCGGCCCTTTCCCGGCCAGGCACCCTCTCTTCCCAGAACCAGCTCAGACGTGCTGACCCCACGGACCCCTCCTCAGGATCCTGCCCTGGCCCAGGGCAGGCAGCTGGCCACAGCCTGGGCTGACTTGGGTCAGCAGCCTCTGCCAGCAGCTCCGGCCCGAGATTCTGGTCCACGGAATGCCCTGATTCTGCCCCACCCCCATGTGGACACTGCCCCCAGGCCCGCGGACTCAGGTCTGAAGCTGCAGGACCCCTCTCGGTGGCCCAGCTGGTCCAGCCTGGCTCTCCTCAGGTGGGCGTGGAGACAGGGGAGCTCCTTTGGGCCCCTCCTTTGCTCCTTCCTGTGGCAAACTGGACGACCAAGGACAGCTGTGTGGGCACTGGGTGCTGACTCTGCAGTCTGAGTGGCCTTCGGCTTCCAACCTAGGAGGTCCCCAGTGGGTGGGGGGCTCTGGGGAGGGCTAGGGCCCACTCACTTGGACACTCCGGGACAGGAGCCCTCGCAGAAGGTGACGTTGACGACGGCCTCGCAGTCCCCGTGCCGCAGGATGGTCCTGTTGACGTGGACCTGGCAGGAGTCTGGGCCGAGGAAAGGCGGCGGAGGTTGGGGTCTCCGAGGACCCGGACCTGGGGCGCTCGCTCCCTGCCACGTTCCCTCCCGGCCTGCCGCTCGGGGCGGGGTTCTGGGGGGGCAGCAGGAGCCAAAGGGCAGGGGCGGGAAGGCGGCCTCGACTTACCCACTTCCTCACAGGAGTAGCAGCAGCCAGTCTTCCTGAGGATGCCCTGCAGCGGGGGACAGAGCGCGGGCTGGGGATACAGCGTGGGCTCCAGGGGCAGGGCCCCCCAGCGGGCGTGGCCACGGGCGAG